AACCTGAAGACTATGCTCGTCTCTCATGCGTTTGTTGATTTATGGCACCTGATTGAAGAGGAGAAGAGCTTCGACAAGCATCTCTTCAGCCTTCTTGACGAGCCTGAGCAAGACTTCATGAGATATTGCTTGAGCAAATGTCATATCAAGTCACGAGAATTTGATTCGGCGTACAATGAGCAACTGAATGGTGTTGTAAAGCGCTTGAAAATGCTACAAGGGGCTATTGGCGATGATAATCCAGGCATAAAAAAAGGAAATGAAGCAGCTTCTTGACAAGCTGTACGAGAAGGGCGTGTTCTCAACCAACTACTACACTCAGTTCAAGCGGATGATGATGCTCTCTTAGAGTCACGCTTGAAGGTGAGCAACTTGCTTGTGTCGATGAATTTCGGCTTCTTCTTCTTTTTCTGCTCTTTCGCGAGCTGAGAAACGTTGATCTTCTCCAACGGTTTGGTTAGCGTCTCAATGTTAGTAGAACCATGATCAGTCTTAGCAGACACTAATGCCTTAACAGTTCCCGATGTTGTTCCATCTCCATCAATCTTCATAGGTGATGGCATCATCTGCCGACCAATTCTTTCCTGCGATGCATTTTTGATTTAGTTACTTATATATAAGTTATCAGAGATGAGTTTTCCAATTCTTTTAAACATCACCAATCAGGTTGCTCAGCATCAGTTCAGATATCGATTCAGTCAGCCGATCGATTTTAGTCAATTCGAATGCGCCCTTGGTTCGATCAGCATCTACTACTCGTGGAAAGCGATCACTGGTCAACGTCAAAATAATTCATTCAAGATCATTTGGCCAACAGCTGCTACGACGACAACGTATTCAATCACCTTACCAGATGGCACATACTCAGCAAGTGATATCAACAACTACCTCCAGTACTGATCAATTCAAAACAACCTGTATTTAACCAACAACACTACGGGCGAATACTATTACTTCATCTCTTGCACAGAGAACCCATCTGCCTATACGATTCAGTTTACGATGAATCCCGTCAAGAATATTACTGGCTATACTGCAGCAGCCGGTTTCCCCACAATGCCAGCTACTGCATATACGCCTCAATTGCTCATTGACAATTCTGGATTTGGAGCTATCGTTGGATATTCCAATGGTACGTACCCAGCTGCGCAGACGACAAGCGTTTACGCTGTTAACAGCACCATCGTACCTCAAATTGACCCTATCGCTGCTGTTATTGTTGGATTGTCAAATCTGTACAACCCGATCGCCAATAACAATCAAGTGCTACATACATTCACATCGGCTGGCGTTGGTTTTGGAGGACTTATCACCACTTCACAAGGGCAAGGATTTGCCTACTGTCCGATGCAAGGAACAAACAATGAAATCACCTTGAGCTTTTATGACCAAGACATGAAACCACTTCAGATTGTGGATCCCAATGCTTGTATTCGTTTGCTGATGAGACAAAAAAAAACTCCGACTCGACGATGTAATTATAAGTCGCAAAGAAAATCAGTAATATTCTGATATATTTTCCTGTCGATGATGTCCATCATCATCGTGCTCATTTTTTCGCTTGTGATCCGTTTGTAGAGATCAATGAAATCTTTGATTGGAATATCGCTCGGAAAGTCGCGGCAAATGATTGCGAGATCACGTTGATTTAAATTTCGACCAAGAACGATATATTGACTATTGATGCGAATCGTCTTTGGATTGAGCTTGAGTCTTCTTTGGCTCTAGAACCAAGTCATCGAAGATAACTAGTTTGCTCGTTTCGGAGTCATACTCGCCCATCGCAGGGACCATTCCTTCTTCGATCACATCTACATTATCAATAGTGTCTTTGAGATGATCGTACAGGGTTTCATTTGTCTTCGTGCAGATGCCGATCTTCGTAAAGCATTTGCTCAACAACGCGCTGCCCGATGGACTTGCTACGCACATGCGAAAGGGCAACTCGAAATGCTCATTCTTCGGAAACTTCTTGAGCTTCTTCTTGTCTATGGTTTCATAGAAGTTTATCATTGTAACTATATACAAGCAACCAAAAATGTCTCTTCCACCAACGACAAACAGTTCAATCTTCAACAGCTCGTTTTTCCTTGGATCAAATGACTATCTCACAATTGCTGATGCAGACAAACGATATCAAAAAAAAAAAATAGGCGGAACTGATGTTTTTAGTTCAATTGCTGTGGCTGGAAATCTTGGCTGTGGATCATTGACAATTGCGGGATCAGCGGTTGACTTGACGAGTCTCTCAGGTGTGACAGCAGGAACAGTCACAACGTCGAAGGTTGTTATGGACGATGCCAACAAAGACATCATCTCTTTCCGGAATCTAACAGCCACTAACTTGATTGGCACTCTTCAAACTGCCGCACAACCAAATACTACATCTGTGGGGACGTTGAGTTCACTGACAGTATCTGGGAATATCTCTGGAACGCTGTCAACCGCACCACAACCTAATGTCACTAGTGTTGGTACATTAAGTTCACTGACAGTATCTGGAAATATCTCTGGCACATTGACTACCGCTTCGCAACCGAATATCACATCTGCGGGGACGTTGAGTTCACTGACAGTATCTGGGCATATCTCTGGAATGTTAACCACTGTTGTGCAACCAAATATAACTAGTGTTGGTACATTGAGCTCGCTGACTGTGTCTGGAAATTTTTCTGGAACGTTAGCTCCCGCTTCTCAGCCGAATAACACATCTCTTGGAACTATCACTGGATTGACATCGTCAGGGAATATCACAATAACAAGTGGTGGAGCTCTGTATACGACCTTTACGAACAACACGACTTCATCGACGATCTATCAGCGATGGATAAATACACTTGCGACAAATATTGTAACCGATCTCTGGATGTCAAATGTTGGATCAACGATCGGAACAAATAGCGCGCATCCATTCAGAATTCAAACTGCTGGGGCTGCTCGTATAAACGTTGATTCATCAGGTAATGTCAACATAGGAACGACTGCTCCGACTGGCACATATAAACTGGAAGGCGCAAGCGCAAACTTCACAACGCTTTATCAAAATGGAATTCAAGTGGCCACATCAACTGATGTATCATATCTCTCTGGTGTAACGGCAGGAACAGCTACTGCAAGCAAAGCTCTACTGTTAGATGCGTAAAAAAATATTGCAACTATCAACTCTCTAACCGCTACATCGATTTCAATTGGAAGCAGCATTTTAACGAATACAGAGGCTGCATATCTCACATTGGTCACAGCAGGAACGCTACTGTACGCAAAGCTCTCGTATTAGATGCATCTAAAGATATCTACGGAGTAGATGCCGTTGGGTTGAACAACATTGACCCGACAAACAACTCAGCTCTACTTTACAAAGGGATTCTAAGAAAAATTCAAGCGACTGGTGAAGATGGTATTCAGATTTATGACACTCAATTTCATGTCACACCAAAATCAATTCTAAGTTTGTATCCAGTGAATGACGACACTCCAATTTACTTGAACTGCTTCAACTATCTCCGAGGAAATTTTAAACTGTTTCAAAGTGAAAGCACTGGTGCATACAATGATGGGATGCGGTTTCAATATGACATCACTGGCGCTCCAAGCGCCGGCTTATCACTCAACAATATCTCCTTTGTTGATACTAGAGGAGCGTTGGCATGAACACTGAACCAGTACAATACCAGCAAGCAGACAGTTCATTTTGCCAGCACTTTGAGCGATATCAATACCAATTACACTGACTTCAAAACAATTCTATGCGAAGGGGTGATAATGAAAAAATCGCTCAAGTTCTCAAATAGTACAACAGCTGTTGTATCTCCATCATCTCAATTTGTGTTCAAGCGACAACAACATGGCCAGATGGATCATATAACAAAGCGATTCGATGCATCACAGATAATTCATCTCCATTGAAATTTCTTGTAAAGTTGAATGCTGGGACAAATGCGACGTCGACTAACGCAAAATGGATCGAGAATGTTAGAAACAATGATTTGAAATTTGGAGTCAATAATTCCACGAAAATGATTCTTGATACGAATGGGAGATTGGGAGTTGGAACAGCTTCGCCTGTAGCTCTACTTCACGTAAGCGGAAGCAATACATATACAGTTGTTCCGATTGCAACCAACACTTATAATTACAATGTGTCAAACAACACATGGACGAACAATGGAGGAGGTCCATTTAGCTTTAGTATTAGCGCGTACTTCAGCTCCAACATCTATGTTGGAGCAAGTGTTTATACTTCTTCTGATAGACGGTTGAAGGAAAATATTAAGCTCATTGAATTGAGTCTAGATCATCATCAGAAATTGAACTCCGTATCCTATAACTACAAAAACGATAGCACGGCTAAGCTAGGTTTGATCGCACAAGACACGCTCAAGGTATGCTCTGAAATGGTCAACTTTAGTCCAAATGAGAATCTCAAAAAAGTTGACGAAGTTGAGGGCTTTCAATACAATATTGATTACAATCAATTGGCAGTTCTAAACTGCGTGGTTATTAAAGCCTTGATCAAAAAAGTCGAAGAACTAGAAGCAAAAATAAACTCATCTAATATAAAAAGATGGGAAACAAAAAATCAAAGCCAATCCCGGAAGGTACAGCCATCATCAACACAACTGTGATATCATCAGATTCAGTAATGATACTTGATGGAAGGATTCTGCTACCAGTAAGCGATGGAAAGGACTCATCCGTTGCTAAGATTGATCTCAAAGAAAAAAAGATAGAGGTGCTTCGAGGCGTCCGGGGAAAGCTGGCAAAAAAAATCTTGTCTTCAAGCAAAAGAAAGCAAAAAAAAAGACACCTAGCGCGTTTGTCATTAAAGATGAAGATGCCCTTCGAGAACATAGCTTCTCTAGTAGAGTGATATTGTTCAAGTAGAAACTTATGCGTCTAATACAACCTTCATCCACTCTTTCAATTTTTTTTTGTATTCGTTCATGTTGGCCTTCGTGTGTTTTCCTGTCATTTTCGGTGCATGCGTATCAAAATAATTATTACCATGTCTTTCATCTACGACCGATTTAAACTGTGTTCTGATAGTAGTAAGAAGATGGTTTCGATTCGCACCTGTGCTATCAGCAACAACTTTATTAAAATAAACTTTTACACGCTCCTTAACCTCCTCTTTCTTATCAGCGCTAAGATCAGCAGAGCTGATTTTGCGCTCTATTTCTTCCTGTTTGATACGGGTTTTGGTCGAAGATTAGGAGACGTCTCATCTGGAGCAGGTGCATCGCGTTTACGTTTCAAGAACGCTTTTGCGATTTCACTGGCCTTATCGTCAATGTCTTCTTTAGAAGTCTTACGATTATGCATAAATACCTTGCTTAAAAAACTTTATTTTTCTTCAAATATTTTCTTATACGATCTTGAAAGGCTTGTTCCATATTTATTCCTTTATTGATTTTAGTGTAATTGAAGTTGTTCATATGATTCATAAAATTATTATCATTGAACATTTCTTTGTACGAGAAGCTTGGTGAAGCATTCATGCTCGCGTTCATATCAGTTTGCTGAGGAACATACTTATATTTCTTTGATGTGGATTTGGATTTGGTTTCTTTTGGCGCGTCGCCGGGTCCCGTCATGTCATAAACATCTCCAATAGATGGTTGTTGTTTAACTTTTGATCACTTTAGGCGCCTTTTTCGTCAGCTTTTGAGTGATTTGATCGTAGTCGTATTCACGATTCTTTCCCATCACTTCCTGGAATAGGTTTGCTAACGAATCGCTGCTAGCATCGTCCAGAGCTTGCTCTTGGATCATCGCCTTCAACTTCGCGCCTTGGACAAAATCACTTTTGGCCATTGCATTGCGTAGCTTTTTGCTTAGTTTGGTTATCAGTGAAGAACCCGTTCATTGTTTCTGGATACTATATTTGGCAGATCAAAAAAATATATTGAGAAGACAACGATGCCTAATGTTGAACTGGACCTTGCGATACAGTACCCATAGCAGTGTCGACGCTAGCAACGACTTCACGGAGGATATGGTAATAGATCGTGAGCGCGTAGTTCGTGTTGTTCGTGCCTGAAACAATGATCGACTTGCTCACACCATCTTCACTAGGTAGACGACGGCTAATATCGACAGCAACGAATCGGTAAAGCGATTCCCATAGACGTTGACAAAGTAAACCAGCGATTGTTACATCGTCTAGGCCACCGTCAACACCAGACTTCGACATTTCTTGAACGAAGAGATCGTAGCCGAAGTTGACAGGGTTATCCCAGATTGGGACGTTTCCTACTGTTACCTGTAAGTTACGTAACGCAGCAAACGGTGAAGTAGTTGCAGGTACGGTGCTGAAAGGACTACGGAATGGATTGATCACATCTGGAAGAGAACTAGATCCTGTAGTCATAATCGTGATAACAGGTTGCATGATCAATTTCTTTGGATTAGCATACCGTTCGTGATCGTCCACGTGAAAGATTGACCAGCTTGAACGGTGAACTAGTTGGCTACACGTTCAAAATAACGGAATGTTTTCTTCTGGATAACGGCATTGTCAGCTGATGGATTTGGACTGTAAGTTGGAACTAACAAACGCGAGAATGCTTGGGATGGAGCAATACCACTTCCCGAAGTCGCTGTACCGTTAACATCGGCAGTAACTGTCAAGATCGTGCTAGCCGGAACGTTGAGACCGGTTGGAGATTGCGTGGCGGTTGAGACAGCGGAGTAGAAGTTCCAAAGAATTGGACATGTGTTGCAAAATTGCATGTTGTTGCTGGCTGCTATAGTTCCTGGAGCAACGACGCCAGTGGAATTAGTCGTAATTGTGGTGCTCGAACTGTTGTAGTTAATGTAAATAAAACCACGGGTGTTCTTCTGCATTGGGCATTTTTTTTGAAGTAATCACAGATATCCTTGAGTTTGATGCATGCTAAATAGTGAGCTACATAGAATGGGGCACCATTAGCAACCGATCCAACTGACACGACATATACTTGTGGTTTAAACACAGCTTGGAGGTTGGCGGCTGAACCCATGATATCGAATGCAAGTTTGCTGGCTTGCTGGTCGAGAGCAGTAAAGAGTGACTGATCCTAAGCACCCTTATTGAGCAGCGTATTTGACAGACCAAACTCTCCAACAGTGGAATTCATAAACGAACTCGTTGTAACGTTGTCAAGATTCTGTGTTAAGCTACTTCCAGCAGCCGGAAAAGCGTATTCGTCAATTACAAAGTAACTGGTTTGGCCCTGCTTGGGATAGGTGTTGTATCCCATTCAGTTAAGGCTTTGAATGTAGTATTGAAGTTCTCATGAACTTGATTTGTTTGGACCGTCGTACCATCAATGACAACTTGAACCGAGTCAATGAATTGCCAGGCACCTGCCTTAGGAATGTGGTGGAGTGCGGTTCGCAAAATCACGTTGCGATCCACTCGGACACACAGTGCCCTGGACTGCCGACTGACGGAGGGGGTACTCCGATAACCGTG